GTTTAGGGTTTAGGGTTCAAGCTTCGCAGAAAGGGCGCATGTGATCCAGACTGACAACCTAAGATTTAGGTTTGAGATTGGTAACCCCTGCAAAACAACTGCGGCAATAGCCTCAGTGAGTTTCTGAGCACGTAATCCAGCCCCTTGCTACTTTGTAGTCGAAACAGATTCAACTTAGGATCTAGGCTCACACCTCAAGAATCCCTGCATGTCCCATTCATGATTAAGAGCCTCAAGTAGCTTTTGACTATCTAAGACATTAAATATAACCCATTAAAGCTTCTAGTCCCGAAAACTCGATGATACCAAGTTACCATGACCTCTGACCATGACTCGTGTCTTTACCTGTCCCTCCAGCACTCTGAATGCGCATCACTTCGTCAAGGGCACCTGTGCAAGGCGAGGGGCTCAGGCATTAGGAATTCTAGGGTTTCTGGGTCTTGGGGCTTTGATTTCTAGGGCTTTAGGGCTTGGGGATGTAGGAGTGTAGGGACGAAGGGTTCAGGGATTCAAGGAATAGAAGTTGAGGGCTACAACCAGCTGTTCTGATGCCATATGCACAGCTACAGAACATGCAGTTTGAGAAATCCTTTTGCCATGCAAGGTGCCTTGACTGATGTACGTTCAAGGGCTGGGGGTATGGCGGTGGGGCAGAAAGTCTTTCAACGGAAGTCACTACACACTGAATGGTGGCAGCTTAAAGGTATATACTTATATATGCATATACAATATACATTAGAATATATGTATAGAAAAAGATAGATACATAGTCGCTTCACTCGACATTCAGAATGCACCTGCTGTATGAATCAAGAACATGTCACGTAGACAAGCAGGCATACAGTGAGTGCATGCAGCTATCCAGAAGCCACCAAATGCAAGCCATCAAGCAACCCGCCTGGAACCACGTCCGCTAAGCAAAGCACCTTCCAAACACTCCTTCTTCTGGCTTGAAGCGCAGTTCTTGCTGTAATGACTAACCCTGTCATCAGCACCAGCATTGCTAATAAAAACAGTAGTAGCACTGCTAATAGCAAAAAATAGTAAAGTGATAGTGAAAACAGTAGTCCACGTAGCATAATCTTTGGATGGATGCGGATTCAGGATGGGCAGGGTTAAGGGTCTACGGAGTTCGTAGGTGTTGAGCAACAGGGTGTTGGTGTATTCAGGGTGACGGTTCGGGGTCTGGGCTCCAAGCTTCCTTCATGTTTAATTTACCAAGGGTATAAAAAAAAAAAAAAAAAA